TGGATATATATATATATATATATATATATATATATATAGTAGATTATTGGGATCTGAATTCAAGAAGAAACTTATTATTATCTATCCACCTTCGTAAGGCAAGCAGACTTATGAAAAGCGAAGTCATTCATCACCTGTTTGGTTTGCCCGAGATCAAGTAACCTAAACTTAGGAAGCGTAAAGTCAGATAATTATTGTGACATTGTAAATCTTTTCAAATACCGCAAGGCAAGCAGACTTATGAAAAGCGAAGTCATTCATCACCTAGCCGGTTTGCCCGAGATCAAGTAACCTAAACTTAGGAAGCGTCAGATAATTCACCTAGCCGGTTTGCCCGAGATCAAGTAACCTAAACTTAGGAAGCGTAAAGTCAGATAATTATTGTGACATTGTAAATCTTTTCAAATATAAATCCGCAAGGCAATGTCTGACTTCATTTAAGATCCGCAGATTGTTTCAGAAAGGTAGACGATATTTTCAACCGTCTTATACGTCGTGATATTTGTATTTGACGGGTCATTCACAGCTTCTCCCCATGTATGAGTGTGAAGTCATTTGGCTATTCCGAACGTTTGTTCACACATCAGAGCAGAATTTTCGGAGATATCTTCATATCGTTCGCAAGAGTGCGAATTATTAGTACTGGCTTGCTCCGTTTGATGTCATTCAACATCGAGAAAATGATTAGTGAAATGCATATCGTTAAACGTTGGCGACACCGGAAAAACCGGTCAAACTTTTGGGAATGTCATCCTATTCACTTGTAATCCTTCAATGGGCATACACTTAAAAGAGCGACGAAATACGCACTCTTCAAATATTTTATGGTCGTGAGCTACTGTGGCAGCTTTAGGAGATTCATACTCCCACAATTTGACTGGCTTTTCTCGGCTTTTCGAACGTAGTGATGTACAGTAGTTATAAGCCGGATTTGCGGTATAAAAATATATTTACAGGGTGAAGAAGAACGACAGCTGGATCATCGGCACTTCATCACCACAATGGTAGTGTAGGAAATGTCGGAATGCAATTCCAGGTTGCAAGCCCATAGTGTCATATAATAATTGAATATATATTATTTCAGTAATAACTTGGCTAAGAGATCCAATCTGATGTAACACTCCACCATCAAAACCTTGCCAGTAGTTTGAATAGACCCTACCGTAACGGATAATTGCAGAGTACCACATGCAAACAGGTAGGGTTTCCTAAACGGACAATGACGGAAGATCACTGATGATCCATTCAGCATACGCCAGGCAGGCAATCAGGGTCTTATAACCAACCACCCTCTTCTTCGAGAATATCCTCTTTAAATTCGAAGTAAACATGATGCTGCAGAATCCACCGACGACTCCCCTTCTTATTCGTAGAATCGATTTTTCTTGTGTTGGCTGAGTTATGACCTCATTGTGGTGGGAATCAAGCGACGTGAACCAAACACCACAAAAAGTATGATAAGTCACTAAACCATCTGCCCGACTGCCAGATGCAGTGTGAGGGTGAATGTCCAGAGGTTTCCCAGATTTTTCTCAAAACGGGTGGTAAATATGCGTCCTGTGACTGGATGAACTTCATGGTGGAACCACAGTCAGGATCAGCCCGTCGCCCAGCACAGAAAAGGGTGCTGCAGAAACTCACACCCAAGTTTAGAAGGTGAACAACCGAAAAGCTGAAAAATGCATCATTGTGAGAAGAAGGAGTACCTATGTACTGTCTATTGCTGGTTGGAAAGTCGAATTAAAGGTACCGGTTTTATGTGGATTCTTGGGAGCTAGACACAATCACTATCAAAGATGCCATGTCCTTTCGAACTACGGAAGTTCCCCGGATCTCCACGCCGCCAAAGTAACTTCGTCAACTTACCAATAATCTAGCTATTGGCAACTCTCACGATGACTCATGACGGAAGCGATTAAGCGTAGCTATGCGAGTACCTGAAAATATGTTTATGTTTACACAGTGTCTCAATTACATTCGGTCAACGTTATGGATAAGCCATTAAAGATTTGGAAGCTGTCGTTCTTCTTCATAGAACCGATATCTTCGTATAAAAAGGAATTTTGTGAGGAGAGTAAGAAAGTTGTTCCAGAGAGTAAGAGGAATCAGAAAGAAGCTTAGTAGCACCAAATACAAACTTTCCTTTAAATCAGTAGTGTGCCTTGACAACCTGGAGGGAAATGGTCATGCCAGCTAACCTCCAGAAAACATTGAAACTACTATGCCCTAAAGCCGAAGTACTGATCCTCCAAGACGGCATCTCCATTCTTTCTACTACTTCAAAATGGTGGACGTTTGAGTGCATCCCAGAAATGAGGAGCACTTTTCATCTAACGAGACACTTTCTTCGTCTGTTGATGCCAGTGTCATTGGACTTAGAGGTACTATGTTGAGAGGATGTAAGTTGCTTACTCAAGCTGCGAAGATAAACTGTTCTACAACCGACAGAGTGCCTCACAACGATTTTTGCGTTAGAAGGATAACAAATCATCCTTTTGGAAAAAAGGTTGGTCATAAACCCTTGACATCAGTGGTGGCAACCAAAAACCCTCGAGGATAACCAGCAAATATGTGCTAATTTTTCATGACTTTAGGATTCAACATGTCTGTGATTAGGAACGTACCATATCAGACGGGCCTTCCAGACCTGATCGAGGAATAAACGAACTCACTCACAAACGGAGTGATAAGGATAATCGTAAATTCACACTGTTTGGGCAACAGGTAGCGAAAAATCAGATGGTAGATCCAGTGTGCCAACGAACAAAGGAACAACTGAAAGCCGAAAAAATCGTCAGAAAAATGCGCGCACTTCTCAGATAATGATTTTGACTCTACTTGGGGAATGTGGCGCTGCTGCCGAATATGATTAAAACTGGAAAGCCGTAAAGTACCGTATGTGCATTGGTATCAAAGGATGCAGGTGAATTCTGATCAAGCGCACATCGCTAGTGACCGAGTTTATGAGGTACGGGGGAGACGCTTGTTTTAGACACAACTATACCGATATGTACAGAGTTTGCAGCGCAGCTACCTACCCCACCTTCTCAAATCATCAGTGGAAGAAACTGTGGCAACTACAACCACTGTACGACAATTGTGTGGTTCTTACAGCTGATGGTGATGATGATGTTGAGTGCCAAGAGCACGATGAAGCCAAAAGCCAGGTACGATTAACCCTCTGGCACGAGCATGGTGGACGGATACGTTTAGTCCATGACCGACAAGCTCAAACGAAAAATGCTCTATAGTGATGCATCAAGGAAGTTACGACTACAAATCAAACTGCTGAAACGAATAAAAGTATCTCCAAAGGAGATATGATCACACGACTTAACGGAGCCGAGAAATCTTTCAACGACAGTGGGTTCGTGTTTTGAGCCCAGAAGATAGAGTGAGATGCTGATGAAGAACCTATAGGACGAGGCTATATTTCTGCCACCCTCAATTCAGCCGAGTCGGGGATATATCAAGCTATATGCTGAAGAATTGGGTCAGTGATTACAGGCCGAGATGAGTCTTCTGTGATTGCGCAACCGAGAAATAATGTACCCAGGCATCCAATTCTGATCAATATGGGAGCTCGAAGCTTAAACAGTCCTTGATGTGCCCGCGGAAACCGGACCCGTCATGCAGTTTTTCAGGAAAAATGGAGGCGTTCAAAACTAACAACTTAGTGCAGATCAAAGACCACGGGTGATCTGAAGTTCTTAGCCTAAGAGTAACTCAATTCCTTGAATGTGGTTGCGGGCTTTGTAGAATCTACGTTCACATCAATTTCGTTTGAAAAGCGGTGCACTTTTCCTCAAAAAGGGAAAGCACCTGACTCGATCTCTAATAAGAGTAAATCCTGAGTCCAGTGCTTCCTTCCTTGTAGGTATTCTAGGTATCTAGGTATCCTAGATAAGACAAACACAAGGTTTGTGAAACAGTCTAGTTCTCAGGGCTACTGATAAGTAGTATTTTTAGCTACTGCAAGTTCATCTATCATTTGTAACGTTCTATACAAAGAATTCAGTTCAATTTGCTTCAGTCGAAGTAGCGTTGGTTTACATTCACCCTTAGGAGAGCTAATTTCGCGCTTTATTTGGTTGATTAGTAAGTTTTTCAAATTCCATTTTCAGAATAAATAATCGAAAGTAGTACACTTACCGTGGGGTCAACGTTGATAATTTTTCTGTCACGCTTGTTTTTAAACAATAGCCCGCTGGGATTCTCAGCCAACACGGTGTAGTTGGGTGACGAGGTCGCGACGACATTTTGAGTCTCCCAGTTGTAAAAGCTGGCAAAATGTGAGACATTATTTGAAACAGCCGAATAATCAACAGTTATCAGGGTGACGATCAACCCAGTACCCTAACTAATCCCCTAATATGTTAAAGGGAGAAATGAGTAGGATGGGATTGCTGAGTAAAATAATGTAAAATAGCGTTTACTATTGCTTAACTCCCCACTGAGAGTTCGAATATGCGGCAAAACTCATTATTGTATTGAATTGTACTACTGCCACAAAATTGATTGGCCCAAATGGAAACTTAAGTACAATGGTGAAAACGAATTTGACGGTGTTCCAACAGGGGAGTATCCAAAACAAACACACAATGGTTTCAGTGACATTCTTAACGAAAACCACCCATTGGACCCTTGTATTTTAGGCGATCGGTTCAGAATTGTTGTGTTGGCTAAATGGTCCTTGACTGAACAGCTTTTAAGCAATTACCAATATCGGCACATGTCTTAAATAATTCATATCGTATATTAGTCGGTTTACGACAAACTTTAGTGTTTCTTGGGTAAAAAATCTATATTGACGTGGGGCCTTTCCACAAGGCATCTCTGACAAAATATGCGCACCATTAAGGGAACTTTTACAAGAAGTTTAGTCTCCGGAACAGGTATCCATATACACAGAAAAGTGACTGCAAGCTGCCTTCAGATAGTAGGGAAATTTTGAAGTTGCGACCCGAAACTGAGATCGGCCTATATCGGTAAGCCTATAGCTGTCCAGTTCTTGTTGGGAATCATTGGTAGCGTACAGCTTACCAAACCGTAGGAGAATGAAATTCCACGGAATCAAACACTGTTCCAGTTGATAATAAGTGGCTGATCAACAGTGCCACCACTTTGCACTTAGGCAGGATTACTTGTGTTTCCATGAAAAATTTCAGATCACTTGATCTCCTGAGTGACGACTTCTCGGATGGTGCACGAGATTTTCACACACTCAGTAGATCACTCGTAACTTAAAGCAAACAAGTGAACAGTAGGACTATCCGTATACAATGCGCCATCTTGTAGGACCAAATTTCAACTAACATTATAAGTCATGTCCTGAGGACATGCCGCCGTTGAACAGGGGACAAAAGTGGTCTACATTTAATCGAACAATTTATTATCGCATTGTAGATACGAGTAAAATGCTGACGACCTCATTGTTCAATAACTCATTCCAACTAACCACCTATAAAATATGTACTGTTGCTATACTGGTCCCAGCTGCCATAGTTTCGATCGTCATAAAGTGGGGGAGTGTGGAAGATATGGCCAATAATTGGAGGCCATTGCAGGTTTATTTAGTTTGGAAACTGGTTAGCTGCGCATCGAAGGTGATAGCTTTTATGAATGTATGCCACTGAATGTGTGATGGGTCTGTTTCTGTCACTGTCATTAACCACGGCTGAGTTAAGTCCCGCGGTGCTTGTTCAGGGGGCGGCAGTTGTCGATCTGACTCAATTCACTAAATAATGCTCTTATACTTGGTTGTCAGGCCGCTGATGGTCCACCACTCAGTCGATTCCACTCAGCACAGGGCCAGGTGAAAAATCTTTGCGGGGTGCATATCTTAACCAACGTAATCTATGGGGTATGGGCCATTCATTTATCATGAGAGAGTCCCTTCTTCGTGAAACCACCCGTCGTAAACATTGTCATTTCGGTTATTCCATCAAACCCGACCAGTGATTCGGAGATAATTATTAGCAAACATTGACAGCGTCCATACCTATGGGCCTAAAGACCACGTTTCAGACCATAAAGCATTATGGATCGCATTGCCCCTGACAGACAAACTGACTGCGTCACAGATGACGGAAGTTGACAAAAGTTGCCCTGGCCTTCCCCATTCGAGGGTAATTTCAGCTTCAGCCAGTCCAGCGGAAATTATAGAGCTGTACAGTTCGACAAATTTATCAACCACGCCGATTAACTGGTCTGCAAGCATGAGGTTCGGTTTTGATGCCTTTTAGGTTTGTAGCAGCTTTTTACATTGTGCACGTGTGAAGCGCATGCCAAACCGTTCGGCAGAATTACGTAGGTTTTTGAAGGATCTGGACCAATGAGAGCAACATCGTCTTGATACTCAATGTTTGTGGATCTTTCAAACCACAGAGTTCCAAAAGTTGGCGGAGAATTTTCAAGCAGCACATGAATAACAAGGCTGAATAGAAGAGGTGAGAGAGGGCATCCTTTTCTTACACCACTGGTCACGAACTCAGGTGAAGAATTCCCACAGACTCGAACCTGTACACAGGAGTTTACGTACACTGCTCTCATAACGGGTGTAAATTTAAAATGGACATCCTTGGTCACCAGATATGGTAAATTTTCTAACGGTCGACAGAGTCAGAAGCAGCCTTCAGATTCAGCAAAACGACCAGCGGGGAATGTTTAAAAGAGTGCCACTGTACAAAAACTTATTCCAAGGTATCGATATGGTGAACGCATACTCAGCGAGAACAAAACCCAGGTTGATTCCCATGAATCTACGCCTCTTGATAACCAGTCAACATGCGCAAAATAATGCCAGGTAACTCGCCAGATGCTATTAATGTCAACCTGATGCCAAAATAATTTTCACATAGCGTTTTTCCACCCTTTTGAAGACTGAGATAACAGCTGAGTAGCTTAATTCCACTAGTATTCTGTTTTTATCCCAAATTTCCCTTAGTATAGTCATGAGACTGTTCATGTACGGGGTTGTTGCGTTGAAGGAGTGTTATCCCAAACTGGGGTTCTGTTGTTGACAGTGGGCTGGTTTCATTTGAGCCCGCTTGGTTCTTCCAGAGATTATGTCGAAGGAGAACAGCTGAACTGTTCTATGAAGTGTTTACCTCGTCGCTTAGGACGAAGATTTCATGAGTGAAATACCGGCCTGTGGTTCTCACGTATCACTTCGTCAACAATTATCTTCTTCTGACCGGTTGGATGAACCATTAAAAATAAGACATGACTGTTGTCTGCAGGGAAAGCCTTCTCCAGCTCATGGGCCGTTCCAATCCAACAGCGTTTCCTGTCACTCTTCAAGCTCTTGGTTGTCCGGTGTTGTGTAGATGTGTTCGCCATCACAGTGGCTAGTTTCTGGTACGACCTTTCTGGAAGCAATAAGCATTGCTGATCTCGACGATATGCAGTGTTTATTTAGTTGAGTCGGGTGACTTGAGCAGCTAGTTCTGAAAGATGAAAGCAAAGCTTCGTCAACTCGATTCCATTCAATTATCAAGCAAACCTCGTTATCCGCATGACTGCGTTTGCACAAGCTTTCTAACCCAATCAGCTCGGTGCTATTGCGTTATTGACACTTATCGATGAACGGAGTTGTTTCGTTTTGGCGCGCGAGGTGACAACCAGCCCGCACAAGGGCATGATCGGAGTCAAGCTGCTTACCTCAGAAGGAAAGACAATATGTAACCGAGCTGTTCATCGCAAAATGATGGCCACGGTCCAAATGAATTGATGTCTGTCCTGCGGTTGGTGGCCTCCAAGTAACTCGAAGTTCCTAGTGATCAGGGACAGAGGATGGCCATCACACAGCCGAAGCAGTTGGTCCTCATTATCCACATGTTGCGCATCGACTACAAATCTACCGCCTCATTGTAGACTTTCCTGTAGCCGTCCAACTGGGATCTGATCCCGTGGTAACGCAAACAATAATAAATAATCTAAATAATTCTGCCTCGAGGTTCGGCATGCGCTTCACACCTGCAAAATGTAATGTGCTACTGCAAGATTGGGTGGGCTCGAACCTTAGCCTCATGATTGGAGATGAACCGATTGAGATAGTAGACAAATTTGTTTACCTGGGCAGCTGTATCAGTCCCGGTGGTCTCACGAAAGATCAAAGTTCCATCCGGATTGGGAAGACCAGAGCAGCTTTTGCAAACCTGCGTCACCTGTGGCGTAGGCGTGACATCAGTTTCTCTGTCAAGGGTCGAGTTTATAATGCTGCGGTGTGCTCCATATTACTATATGGATCAGAAACCTGGCCGCCGCGCGCCGAGGACGTCAAAATAATTGCAGTATTTGACCATTGATGTATTCAAATCATTGCCCGAATCTGGTGGGAACACCGGGTCAGCAATGCTGAAGTACGTCAAATGGTATTCGGGAGAAATAACTCACCCTCGATAGATGAACTGATCACACTGCATAGGTTGCACTGGCTTGGCCACGTGCTGCGTATGCCAGTCGACCGACTTCCTCGAAGGGCCTTTTCGCAAAACCCCTGTGAGGGTGGAAGATAGCCAGAGGCGGTCAAACAATGACTTGGCAGCGACGTATGAAAGCCATTACCAGCAAACTCAGCTGCGCTGGTCACTGCCGTCTTCCTGGATGGGGACCCCGAGACGGGCCACATCAATGGCTAGAGACATTATCAGACATGGCCCAGTCGCGCCCTCAATGGCGCTCGTGCATCCAAGCTATTGCCTTCAATGTATAGCTCCTTTTCCAACCCCCCACTTGACAGCCTACTGACAGTGCTGGATTTATGACCAATTTATCAGCTCCCGCCTGTAATGTGCAGCTATCTACCCCTCCCCCCCAAACCATCGGTGAACGAAACTGCGGCAGCTACAACCACTGTACAACGAGTACGCGGTTATTACAGCTGACAATGATGATGATGATGAGGCGTCCAACTTGTTTATTCATTTTATTCGCCAGGATTACTATATCCCTTCATCCTACTGACCGAGGCAATCGCGACAGATTTGATAAAAGAATGATGATGATGATGAGGCGTCCAACTTGTTTATTCATTTTATTCGCCAGGATTACTATATCCCTTCATCCTACTGACCGAGGCAATCGCGACAGATCTTGATAAAAGACGTCCTCTCATGATTCATCTTGCATTGATTTTATTGAGTTAGACAACCGCATAGAAGACTGTTTAGGTGAATCCAGTTCAGTGAACGTTTTCCAGCTTTGGGGCTGTGTGAAACTCCCACACTGTAGATTACTCGAATCATTGTGTCAGGATCACCAGATACCCGTAGTGAAACGTGGAGTATTTGAACTCTTATGAAGCGGCTCGAGGTGCATGACAACTCATAGGCGTATTTCGAAGTCACAACACATATCGACAGACAGTGGAGGCATGGTTTGAGTAAGAAAATGTCTGATGTCCGATTTGACATGGAGGACGGACATTGAAGGCTGTAACCTGGCCAGATCTTTTAAGATCAATAAGTGATTATTTTGGTACATTTCTCAGAGCGATGACTAAGACACGGTCATTTTTTAAAGGACTGGCAATGGGTTGATCGCACTGCAATATAATTTGGATGGGGATCTGATAAAGGGGTTGTGAGCGGAGGGCTACAAAGGCGGATGATGCTTCTCGGTTGCCCCATTGGGAAAAGGGGGTTTGATTTTGGCACCGCACTCTAAGCCATTGACTCGAACGTCTGATCCACAAGGCAATAGGACGATGTGGGGTTTCAAAATTATTTCAAATGCAGTGAATAAAGTCCCAGTGGTCACGGTTCACTGCTGCGCGATTGGAGTGTGCAGTTTGTAGGCCCGACCTTTTTTATCTGGTCTCCCTCGGTAGAAAACAGCATCGCTGCTTCCCTAAATATGGAGATATTGGTTGTCTGAAGGAAACGCCTTACTACCTTTTCAATTCTATCGCAGAGAACAGCGCGACTTTACCTCAAAAATACCTCGTAATTCGACTTCTCGCAGTGCGAAAACCGGGTTTCTCCGTCAAACTGCTCCGCTTCGGCCTTCCTGGTATGGCTGAACGTTAAAGAACTGTGTCCTCTGTAGTTTAGCGTGCAGGAGTATTGCAGTATTGAAACCCGAACACCAAGACGAGGTAATATCTTTAGGTTTGGAGAGCATTTTTCAGGCGTAATTAGGTTTATTTGACAAGACATTAGCGTGAATGGACTCCGATGCGCAAGCGGGTCGAGCGCTTTCAGACCACATACTATTCACAAAATATGTGCAAAGGGTTAGACACAATCAACCACACTAATTAACGCTATCTCAAGTTGGGACTTGAAATCGTCATCTTTTTTGAGTTACTTTGTGGGCTCCGTACTAATAACCCTGATAAAGAATGACATCGGACTGCCGAAATTTTGATTAAGGATATATCTTTAATCCACACTGGTTTTTTCCTAGGTTCTGAGTGTGAGGAAAAACCTGATTTTGTATAAAACATTCAAACTACACTTTTCCTGAGAGAATAATTTTATTTGCAATCAATCACTTTGTCCAAGAAACTAACAAAGTCAGGTTTCAAAGTGGCATACTGCAAAACCCCAATGTCACACATTCTATGTCGGGCCAATTCCGCTGAATCACTTATACTATTCTCAAATAACGTGCATTTTACTACGTACAAATGTACAAATTTTTATGCGCTACAGGCTGTGGTACACTCAGTTTGATCTAATTTTAATACTTCCTTTGAAGTAACCCATTAGTCGATATACCTTTTTTTTGCACGTGTATCATTCCATGTTCTGTTCCCCTGTATTCAGAAATCTGATCGGAAACATTTGAAACAGTCTGATCATTTACGGCAGACTTTCTTCACGGTTTGTGATTTTTCAAGCGATTTACCGGCAAACGTTTCAATAAGCGCGTTTGCATACCCAGCTTTATGCCATAGTATGTCATCGCTAGTCACTAGTGAAGCACGCTCTATTTTCAGTGCACTAACGAAGTACCGGACACACTTGTTGCAGGGGGATCGCGGTATATTTTCTTTGCTAACCTTGCAGACACACTAGATTCATTTCGATGTAAACAGTATCATCGTATTGTTTGAACGAAAAGCACAATCCTTTCACCAAACGTTCTTGTAGGATATCCGGAGTTGTTCAAATCACATGTCAGAAACTAATCCCTCCAGTCCTTTTAAATTCTCGGCAATTTTTCCTATATGTCGGTCAAGGGTTCGACTAGTAGGGTGATCCGATCAAGCTCTCGACTCCGGGGAAAGGAACTTCCTAAATGATTTTTCCCGCTTATACGATAATCCTGAATTTACCCTTGGGAATATTTCAAAGTAAACTTGGTAAGTTCGTGGAATAGGAAACAGAGTCTTTCTGAATGAACCAGAGACTGTCGGACTCCACGTGTCTGTCTTAATAGTATATTTTTAGCCAGCATCGAAAGGTCTTTGAAATTTTGCGGAGTGATTGGCCATCTCATCTGTCTTTAGGTGTTTGTTGTTCAAGAATTTTTCCACCGTCATGGTTTGTCAAGCAAAATATCTCTGACATCCCTAATGAGTAAAGTCGATTTGGGCTGTAGTGAGTTAGTTCCCGCTTGCTTCTAACTGGTAAAACACATGCCGATAAGCCTGGAAGATGACTCACCTCAGATCTCCCGGTCTAGGTAGAATTTTCTTTTTTTCCATAAAGTATTGGCTAAAGTCCTCCGTCTTCAGACGGTGTGCGTAGTCAATGTATCCCGATATTTCCTGTCCACGAGCATTTTTGTCACGTATGAAAATTATCGTCTGTAGGAAAAACAAATGGTTAAGTGCCAGTGTAATTATTCGTACAAAATGCACCCAACAATTCCAAAAGTCAAGAGGTCAAGAGAATAAAGTGGCTAAAGCATACCATATCCCGTATTACAGTTAGGGCGAAAAAAGACCCAGGCAGGAAATTGAAATGCCCATTTTTTCATATACGCCTTCGGCAAAGGCAGCTTGAAAAATATTCTTGTGATTTTTCATCACCAACGCCACGATCAAGCTTCGCCTTGATATCAGCGTGGCACATTCCAATGTTTTGCATCTCTGATGCAGTTTGTAACGGTGAGACGACTTACAAACCTCACTCTGTTCCATTAACCACCAGTGTTTGGGGACCATCAATATAGCACAAAGTATATGTGTGTGTAGATTTCCAGTTGCATTGAATTCTAGCTGTCTGATCACCTACCTAAACCGGCTTCTGAAGCAGTCAAAATCATACTACTTCACAAGATGCTTGTTGGCGCTATCTTACTTAGCCTTAAGCTGTCACCGTTCGTGCCACCGGTCTTCAGTGTACCACACCGACTAACTGGTCATGTAGTGTCCAGCTTCGCATCCAGATATTCAAGCACTTAACAGTGTTAGTGGGATTTGTCAAATATTGATACCGTGAGCTTATATTTGAGGTTGGCGCGCATGGGAGTGGCCACATTAGATTTAATGCTAAATAATCTTATCAAACCAACGCATCGGCACTGCGCGTCATGACTATCAGGAGGCTCGGCTCCTGAAACCGCCAACGTTTGGCGATATCCCTTCATGCATATATACATATATATATATATATATAT